TTTTTTTTTTCAATTTATATTGCTCGTTATGTGAATTACTCGTTATGAGAGGTACTCGTTAAGTGAGGTTCGACTGGAGTTAGGAAATTGTGAACTGTGTAATTGTGAGAGGGGGTGTTCAATAAATTCACTAGATCCAATACGGCGTGAAATTATTTGTCGCATGTCACACACCCAACACGCGACAATTTGGTGTCAGAAGTGCTTTACGAACTTGAACACGCCTCGATTTAGGAAGAATTACTGAATTCAGAAGTACATCAAGTGTTATCCTGCAAAATGAAAAATGGACACACAACAGATGTTGGAACTCCTACTGAAAAAACTGAGGACCAACAAAGAGGAAATCATGGCAAAATTAAATGCCAAGCAAGCTAAGACGAAGGCCAGCCATAAAGAGTTGCTGTCCAGATTGGAGGCTGACAGACAGGCCGAGTGTAAAGAACTGAAGCAATGATGGGCACCAGCCACAAGGAGATGGTTGCTGAAACCAATCCAGAAGGAGACATGGAGACGATGGCCTTCCAAGAGGAGGAGGCACGTCTAGAAGAAGAAGAGCCGACCTCAGTGGACATGAAACCTGAGGTGGCAGAACAACGAGTGGTACCCGTAGAAGACGCCACATTGATGCCGGTTGGAGAACCGAAGAAGAAACGGCGTAGGGACCGAAAACTGGCCACAGAGCGCCGCCGCCAGGAACCGAAGGATAAGACATGGGAAAAGTGGATCCCAGAAGAGACTGGCCGTCGCCCGCAGAGGGACAAGCCACCGTGCAAAAGTGGCAGGGCAGAAGGAAAACGTCAGGAGAAACTGCACCATGGTTGTGGCTGAGAGAGCAACCCAGAGAGTAGGGCTGCTCAGGAAAGATTTACGGATGCACCATGAAGGAAAAAGAGGAACAAAGGACCGAGGCGGCAAGCAGCCGCTGTACATGAGAAAGAAGAGGGAAACTGTGAACTACATTGAATGGTGTGGATCAGAACAGCGATCACACCTGGAAAGTGGAGAAACGAGCAAGAAGACCGTCAATGGGATTTTTAGAGGAAAGATCATGAAACACGTAGTTGGTACTTCCAACAGGTAACAAAAAATAAGAAAATGTATCTTGTGGAGGGGTAGACCCCCTCCAAAATGGAGGGGATACTGCTGTAACACGCGGCAACAGGAAACGGTATAAAAAGCCGGCTGAGCAGTATGTGGTCAGAGAGCGTGTGATCAGGAGTGACACAGTGCTGATCATGAAGTAACCGGTCAGCTTCAATCTAGTAGTTGTCAAGTCGGGTTGTATCGAGTGCATGGCAGTGACTACAGGAGAAGAATTTGTGATACTGCTGATGGCAGTAGTTAGGAAATTGTGTAATTGTGAGAGCGAGTGTTCAATAAAGAAGAAAGCAGTCTTCTGGGATTTGGCACCGTGTATATGTGGTGTTAACTGACGTTTCGGAGGAACATATCGCCCCCATCTTCAGGGTAGAAGAAAAAGTATAAGAAATCTGCAAGCGACAACACCGTGAGAAACGGTAAAGCAGTCTGCTTTACCGTTTCTCATGGTGTTATCACTTGCAGATTTCTTATACTTTTTCTTCTACCCTGAAGATGGGGGCGATATGTTCCTCCGAAACGTCAGTTAACACCACATATACATGGTGCCAAATCCCAGAAGACTCCTTTCTTCATAGTCACCGCCGTGAAAGCCTCAAATCTTACGAGCGTTCAATAAATTCACTAGATTCAATATGACGTGAAATTATGTGGCGTGTCACACACCCAACACGTGACAATATTAATGCATATTAAAGAGAATTCTTTGTGTTGCACTCTCATCTGACTTGAAATGAACAGAGGACATTTCAGACACCTGTTGTAGCTATCGTGTGCCCATGGCTCGATGAGTTGTGTGTTGGCTACACCAGGGCAGGTAGGATTCAACAAGGAGATATCAAGGAGGAGCTACTGATGAAGGACCTTCAACAGCTTGTCATTGTGATGCTGACAAACCTAAAGAAGCACCAACCTGTGAACTAATGTGAAGCCCATTGCAGTTCATACAAGAGACCAAACAAATTGAAACAGATGATACAGATTGTGGTAGCAAAGTCATGTCAGGTGTACAGGCAATACTGGCTACTGAGCAAGTTGAAAGAGATGATGCAAAGTGCAGTGGCAAAGTCATGTCAGGTGTACAGGCAATACTGGCTACTGAGCAAGTTGAAAGAGATGATGCAAAGTGCAGTGGCAAAGTCATGTCAGGTGTACAGGCAATACTGGCTACTGAGCAAGTTGAAAGAGGTGATGCAAAGTGCAAGGGCAAAGTTGTATGATGTGTACGAGCAATACTGTCTTGCTACAATCAGCTCCTGAAGAGTAAAAGATCAGCAAAACAACATATGATCGGTTATTAGTGTGAGATACACAAGCCATCTTAAAGCACCAATGAACCAGTCTATATAATTCCACAAGATAAACTGCTTCATTTTTAGGGAATTTCTCAATGTTATTATTAGAAAAGAACAGTGTTATTATCAAATACAATATAATACATAAAAAAATTATAGTGAGCCTTCTTGAAAAAATTTCAGATATAGTGAGAAACAAGTTTCTCTCTAAGGTGGATTTGATGTTCCTAGTTGTAAACAAATCAATCCCCTTATATGTTGCCAGATGTCGCAAATGCTGGACCTGTCCTCAATCCCTTGCAAAGTAGTTATCATCCAAAACTGACAATCCTACCCTCCGAAACTCCCCTGTCCTGTAACATACACTTGGGAATTTTGTCTGCAAATCATTTATTTCTTTAGCTCACATACACTTCAATAAATGTTATACACATTCAGAGCTCAACGGCAGTGTTCTATATACAGCAGACAGTAAAGTAACCAGACACAGATTATACTGGTTGCAGATTATCCAGGGGCTTTTGTTTAGAAAATTGACTTGTGTCCAATGTCAGGCTTACTTTTTAGAAAGGAGCAATTATAAAATGAATGGCGCTTTGTTCCACATTTAAATATGTACTTGAAGGAAGCTTCATTTCATATTTAACTATGTACTTGAAAAATGAAAATGGTCTCCTTTGTCCCTTTCAGAAATCACACTCATATTTCTAGCAATAATGCCTGAACCAATGTCTCTCTAAATGTATGTTTCGTTTCATACGTCACAATTCACAAGTTTGTTACATAATCCTTTTACTGATCATCTGGGATTTTGAATTATCCAAGGAAATTAATTTCCCATCCACCCCAGACAATGAGGAATCTAGTGTATTCTATGGCCCAAATATAAAGTCCAAAATTGGCCCTTAATGTGGATTGTTTACTTTAAATTAACATTGCCAATATGACTGATAAAAACTGTAGTACAGAATCCCACTGTCAGTTAAATTTCACCTGACACCATAAAATGTTTTAAACCACAACGAAGGTAAAGTATGAAGTTTATTCAAATAAAACCCATTTGTGGTGTAGGGGATCATGTGGCTGTGTGGATGACACAAACCAAAATCTGACCACAAGCTGTGCAACAGAACAATCATATCAGGGCAAAGAGGATTAGTGAATGCCTCAACACCCATGGGACCATTTCTAATGGCCTCTATTCCTTCACCCAGAACAATCCCTAAATATGTTTCATTTAAACAACTTTCATACATCCTAAAGATCAACACTTTTTTGTGTGTGGGCATTGAAAAACAATGTAAGCACCAAACCCCGATGTTCATGGGACAGACATATAATGCTAATGGCCTTTGCAGTGCAGCTTACTCACATCTGGAATTACTCCTAAACTTGAACAGGAACTCCAAGTGGTTACTGCAACATTAACTGAACATGGTTCATACAAGCAATATTCTGAAGCTCCTGCATAATTGGATATGCAATCAGTCCGTCTTATGTAAGTTCCTTGTCTTAATTCAGGTAAAGGAGAATTACTTCCCAGTACTTCACAGAACCAGGCATGTCAACTGACTGCCTAGATACCAGCTGGTCTATACTGGAACACTTGATATGGGTCATACCGTGTCTGTTGGTCTGCAGCAAATGGTCGTCCAGGCTGGACATCAGCTCGCAAGATCACGACACCTGCACAATATTATTACATTAACAGATTAAAATTCTTTACCCAGTCACAGATCTTACAGAAATAAGTTTCAACAACACAGACTGGAGTGAACTAGCTCAGTGCTGTCTAGTGGCAGAATTTGGTACCAGTGATGTTGGAAACACTGAGCATTCTTTTTGCTGTCTACAATGAGGTGTGAAAACAAGTGACATGGTGGCCAAATTGGACGAAATTTTCATATCTGTGCACTGTACAATGACTGACAGCAGGTATATACAAGAATTAATTAAACTGAACTAATTCATTCAATTCAGTTCACATTTGGTAGCTGTTCAAAAGAACAATTTAATGACTATCTTGATTCATGAGCTCCCTGCAGTTTCTGAATTTGTATCCTGCACAAGATTCAGCATTATCTACTCCAGAGAACAATTCAGTGGTTTAGTTTACTCATGGACTCAAAAGTTTGATTCACAGTCAAACACATGACACACAGTTTTGATTGAACTGGCCACTTTGGGTCTCAACTGTAACATGTGATCTTGTTTCTGAGTGGATCATACTGCATAATCTGGATTAAGTCCTAAAACAATGTCTGCTTATACTATAGGTTATGAATGTTTTTATTATATACATGTATTCTTTATTCATTCTCATGCATATTATATTTTCGTCTACTTTCCTTTCCTGAAGAGACAAAGTAGCCTCATGTGAACCCTCATTGCCTGTTCTGCATGTTTCAATTTTCGAACCAACCCACCAATTTTCACAAACACTGAATGAACATAATGCTGTCAGAGGACACTCTAAAACAATTTTTAATTTTTTTTTCAATTAATAATAGAATGGTGGATGCACAAATGTGAGATGGGAGCAAAATTAGAACCAATTAACATTTTTTTTTTCCTTGGCACTACAGCCCCAGTGGTTTTTCTAGATCTTACACATACGGTAGGACTCCTTGGGTGAGTGATCAGCTTGTCGCAAGGCCTCTACCTGTAGACAAACACAGAAAAACGCACACAAACATCCATGCCCTGAGTGGGATTCGAACCCATGATCCTGGCTTCCAAGCAAGTGAAGACAGTGCATGTCTTAGACCGCTCGGCTACCGTGACCGGCAATTAATATGATGTAATGTAATGTAATGTAATATAAGCTTACCAGAATCTTGACTGCTGTTGCTGGTAAGGATCTGTGTTTTCATCGCCCAGTAAATGAACATTTTTTCAATACTTCTGTGGTCACCAAAATCTGATATTTATAGGTTCTGGATGTCATGTATCAGTATGTTCATTCATTTCAGGGTTTCATCAAGTTGCAAGTGTTTTCCTTTTCTACACAGCCTTTTACATTCTTTCATATGTCATCCTGACATATGGTGGAGAAATTTCTAACCAGTATCAATATGTACTCTGCTTAAAAAGTTCTATTTCATTCCAGTAAAAAATCTGCTGATGATGTAGTCACTGCCTATGAAAATGTCTTACAAGGCAGATGGGTTAAGAATCATACTTAAGTCTTTTTTAGTCGGTTATTTTATGATGCTGTCAATATCAAGACAACATTGTCAGGTGACAAGATAACTGATATACTTCATGGGATTAGGAAGGAAACGGTCATGGAATTTGCCTGGAAAGACTGAGAAAAATGATGAGAAACCTCAATCATGATAACCAGGGACCCAGCTAAGATTCAAACCAAGCACCTTCTGAATACAAGTTTAAAGTGTTACAGCCACACCAACCTGCTCGGTCACATTTTAGTCTTAATCTGATCCATTACAATTAATAAAAAAAAATGTTAATATTTCTGCTTGGAAATGTACTTACCAGATGGGTTTACTTTCACTTTTATCTTGGTTAGTGGTGTTAAGACCCCATAGTTGACATCTTCATATAGATCCTGTTGAATGCAAGACAGACTTAAGCAAATCTTACAACTCACAAAATCTCCAAACCAGAAAAATTCATAAAAAAGCATTCCTGGACCTTGGTAGGATGCAATATATTTTTATAAGCTGTAATCTGTATAAAAGCACTTCCATTTAGCAAAACCAAACAAATCTGATATACCTGAATTCTGTTCTGTGAAAAATTTGTTTATTCCTTGGAATGTGAAGTACATAATACAGAGTGACCCAAAAGTCAGTTACTTCAGCATTCTCACTTCACTGTCTTTGCGAACTTTGTCCATATATTAAAATTCACACTTTGAAGCCTCTTCATCTCTTATTATCATTTATTTAACACCACATGTTTCAGCCTAAATGACCACCAGGTGTACAAGATTGTATATGAAAGCTGCTGCTGTTCTTACACTGTTGTAAAATATTTTAAGTTACTTCTTAGAATTTCATGCTGTGGTTACTTTTGTTGTGCACACATGTTGCGGGTCTGGCATATGTGTAATATGGAATAAAATGTTATATTTGTGTTTTACTTAAAAGACGGATATGTTATATAACTGTTATTCTATCTCTGTGATTGTAATGTTACTCAGGTTTTTTGATGTGTTGGTTTCTTTCTTTTGTGCTGTGTACAGATATTCTGGTTGTTTCATGCAGTGGTTCTGTTTTTATATAGGGGGTAGAGTGTGTGTGCTGCTAACTGGTGTTCATTTCCTGCGATGTTTTGAATACTGGATTATGTGCATCAACGTTTGGGTCATTCATAAGTAAATTATTTTTACTGAATTTGTATACTATATGGTATTTTTCCTATGAGTTTAGGTATTTTCCTCTTTTACTCGTATGTGTTCTTATAAGGTCCACTGTATCTGTAATGGTTCCACATAGGCCACGCCATAGCTCAAGCGGTTATTCACTGGCTTCCCACCGCTGTATTCGCTATTTGTCCCTTGGTCTCCTTGACCTTCTATCATCTTAGCATGCTCCGTTACGCTAATGTCTACCATGACCTACCACACGGCACCTCTTAACAAAATCTCGTGTTCGTGTACAAACGCATCCCTCTATCCATCTCGAGCCCTACGGCTCCGTTGGGTTCAGGTTTCTCTCCACCTGAAGACATAGGAGGTATGTCAGTTTCCGTTACCTCTGCACGTGTTTCGGCCTCCGGCCATCTTTATTCTTTATAATTAGGTTGCATTCGGGGGCATAGTGAATAACCGTCTCGTTCTCCACTTAATTCATTTGTCTCGGTCGTATTTAATGCTGACAAACCATCATTACGCTCCTCAATAGCGTCTCTCTCTGCTATTCTTCCTGCCTCTCTCTCTTCCGCTGGCGCAAAAGTGCTGATTCTGCGGTTTGATTCAGTTGTCTCTTGTCTCTCGTACGGTGTATATGAGTATTGTGGCACGTACGAACATTGTGGCTTCTCTTCGCTGTCTTCCGACGCTGCATCACCTGAGTTCGTCTCTCCTTCCTGTCCAAACCTGGGTCTCTGCCACCTCGTTCCTTGTCTGTTTCGTCTCTCATATGGTGTGTATGAGTATGGAGGCCTCTTGTGGCACTCTTCTTCCGACACTGCGTTGCCGGAGTCTGTCTCTCTTTCTTCTCCCCCCTCAGGTAGGGGTCGCTGTTCGCGCATCCGTCACTTCATTTGTTTCCGTCTTTCACGGAGCTCCTCTCGTGTGGCTCTGCATAGTTTCAGTTGCTCTATGTGCAGATTCGCTTCTCTTTTCCCTATTTGGATCACTCAAGAAAGTGAAGTAGTTTTGTCTTTTTTAAATGTCCTTTCTTCTTGTTCAACCTGCTGACACAGGTGCCAGTGGGGGCATCTGCCCTCCCCTTCTACTTTTAGGAAACAGAATCAAAGTTGACAGAAGGATGTTGTTGTATTAAAGATTACTACTAATAAGTGAACTTGTTAAAAAAAATATATTCTTCTATCAGAAAATAATCTAGGGTGATGAGTAAAGATATTCTTAAATGGTTTAAATATAAACAAAACAAATTTTTCTGCCTTTCTCTTGGTTCTTGGTTACATTCATTATAACCTGGATGACCACAGAATCAGGTTCAATTCCAGACAGGGACAAGATTTCCCTCTTCTCTACAGCATCCAAGCTGGCTCTGGGGCCCATCCAGTCTCCTGTGGGTACTGGCAGCTCTTTCCCCTGGGGTAAAGTAGCCAAGGCATGAAGCTGCAGTCCTCCATTCATTGCTGAGGTTAAGAATGTGGGGACCTACACTTTCACTCCTCTATAAAACTTCATGGAGGGGTAGTTAATTAAGCACAAGGAGAACTTTTATCTTTTTATCCACAAATGATTTACTTGTTGTTCTGAATTTCTGGACCATGATCTTCATTACAAAACAATTTTTCATTATCAGGGAGTCCAAAATGTCATGCTTATGCAAGAGAATTTGAATTTGATTGACATTTTGGGTCTGCAGTACAGCAGTGATGCAGCTGTACACAGGTAACTTCTGATTCACTTCTCATGCAATCTTGTATGTGACTCAGCTTCACTGAAGTACAGCACATCTGTCATGTGATGATGGTGGGCTTGAAAGTGCACCAACACGGACAAGGAAAAAATACATCACCTAAACATGCAAATTTAATTTTCTCTATATCCCATTATGAGTCACAGGGTAGTGTAATTATAGGAGTAAACTGACATAAAATTAATTAGAAGGGAGTAGCACAGGCATTACAGATTTGGTTTAGAAGATTTAACTAGTTGGATTTGTAACTGGGAAGTATGTGGTTCAAATTGTAGCCAGGGCACTAGTTATCCTGATTGAAATTTCCATGATTTTCCTTAGTGCACCCTGGTGAAAGCCAAAGCAATATTTTAACATGAACCACCACGCCTGCATCATTACACATCTTTTCAAATCCACCATACCTTCTCATCTTAATTATCACTAGATGACATGTGCAGTTGAAACAGTGTTATTAAACAACTTATGTATATATTTTTTTTTATTTGCATAGTGGGGGGGGGGGGGGGGTCCATCTGGGTCCACTCGGCACGGCGGCCACTGACTGGCCTATTGTAACTGCCCCGGTTGATTATGATGGAGAATTTGGTGGAATCAAAATTGGCAGGGGAAACCAAAGTACGTGGAGAAAACCTACCCCAGCGCCACTTTTCCACCATAAATCCCACTTGATCAGACCTGGGTTTGAACCCGTGCCACCACAGTGGGAAGCCAGCAACTAACAGCTTGAGCTATGGCACGGCCTATTTATGTATAAATATACAAATCAGTAAACAATTTTAATTATGCAGTATCCAATGGGAGCAAGAAATTCAGACAAAATTCTGGCTAGAACGTTTAATGGGAAAAGGTCCTTTTAGGGACTGAGAGTTACAAGAGAGGATAATATTAATATGGATAGCCTGTTAGGATTGTGGGCATCCTTTAAATACCATATAGGGAATTTCATAAAGAGATTAATTATTGACTGTTCACATAACAACATGGAAATAATATGACCATGCTTTCCTGATGAATAAACAATACCCAGATACTCATATTGCATTACACTACAGTCATTATATTGGATACTGTGCACTGTCCATTTTATGGACAGCACGTTTCAGTAAATGGCTCTCCTTGCTCCACAATCACCCTCACCTAACATCTGGGGCTGGTACAATAGGCCAGAAGTGGCCGCAGTACAAGGGACTTAGTCCCACTCCACTAGCTATTTAAAAAAAAAGATATATCTCTTGGGAACATATTGCATCCATCTTCAGGGTCAAAAAGTAAGCCAAGCAAAAGACTAGCATGAAGTAGGCAGCAATGACAGGAAATGTATTCCTCCAAAACGTTGGTTGCCTTTCACTGAACTATATGCAGTTATATACTGAACTATATGCAGTTATATACCAGAAGACATAACTCTTCATAGCCACTTCTGTGAGAATGTCAAGTACCCCACAGTTGTCAAGAAATCTTCAGGGAATCACCATGCATCTTACAGGATGTTGCACAGTACCATACAACATCTGCAAATGTAAGCACCTGACACACTATGTTGGCTGTTGTCCATTGTCTTGGGTACATTTGGAAAACACAATGCTTTGAAAACTGGATGCATTTCCCCTCACCAAATTTAGGAGGGGGAACCTATTCTGTTGGGCTCATTAGGAACTAGTCATAATCACTGGATAATGAAAGAAGTTCCAAGCAGAATATATATTCTGCTACCACCAAATATCATCAACAAGGAGATAAGAACAGAACCACATATGCAGTTCATGGTTGACGCAGACTTCATTTCTGTACAAAAAGAATATATATGCCAGAATTGCCAAACTCACTCTTCAAGATATTCTCCCACTACACTAACACATTATTTCCATCATCCTGGCAAGTTACCGACACCAGCAACATCAAAATTTTAACCTGTCTGTGTAGCCAGCTCAGGACACCATGTTTGGATTCATCATCAGTTTGAAATTTCTGTCCTCCTAGGTAAAACTTCATTGATCCAAACAAATGAAAATCACTAGGGAACAAGTCAGGGCTGTTAGGAGGGTGGTTCATGATTTCCCAGCCCACGGTTGCCAATTTAGCCTTCACTGAATTTTCCATGCATGGACAAGCATTGTCATACTGTAGGATAGTATTCTTCAACAGTTTCCCAGAACACACTTTCATGATTTCCCCCCCCCCATCTGATAGCTGTCATGACTTCTCACAACCTTCAGAAAACTTACTGTACCTACCATGTGATATAGTCTCTTCCTAAGAGACTTCACTTTCATGAAGAATATGATGAACCAGTGCTGTTCTACACTATGAGTGACAAAGTCTGATACCATCTTGCACTACATCTAATGCACAGAAGTGGGGGGCACAGTCACCAGTCAGGCAGTGAGTGCGGTGCTGCTAACGGTTGTCCATAGAAGGGTTTTATTTTTCTGGTGCATATCTTCAGGAAAAGTCCAGGTTAACCTTGAACCACCTTCATAGTTCTAAACATCCCCCAAGACAATGGACAATGTCCAATATAATATATAATACCTACACCACTGTCAAAAACATTCAGATCAGAAATATCTTACTTCGACATTATAGCCACCAGGGTTGAAGAGGCCCAACTCTTTTAATGTGACAGCAACATCTGACGGTGTGCCATCTGTGCGACGATTTACGAAGGCCACAGCATATGAGAAGAAATTCTGGTAGACTGGTGTTATGGGTCTCGCCCAGATTTCAATGCCGTTGTGCTGTAAAAAAAGAAATAGCATGATACTGAAATGGATGTCATGCCAAAAATTTGAAAACATGAAAAATAATAAATGAACATTTATTATAAACACAACTAATAACACCTTAATTGGCATTATGGACTTCTGGGATGTAATGCTCTATAGTTTGGTGAATGTGTACCAATGTTTCAGAAGAACTTGCTGCTTCCATCTATAGGGTAGAACACAAAGGTGGTTCATGTAAAATGTTCATATCAATCAGCAGAGATGCAGTGTCACATCCCAAGGACTGGAATCTCAATGTTCAGTCACAAGAACTTCAACACCCACAACAGCATCTTAAGAGCTTAGACTGGATATGCAGAGAACATACAGTATGATCACATACATAATTTTTCTTCTAAATTTACTCATCACAATAAACCTATAATTTCTTATTCAACAGTACATTAATCTCTGCATGTTAATACTGCACTGTTAAATATAAATATACGAAGGGGGACCCAAAAATAACCGGAAACGACCTGTTGCGCGCGCATGCTTTGTAGTTATGAGTTGTGCTGCTAGGTGGTGTTAGCTGGGGGTCTCCTGCGACTGTTAGTGAGCTGGCGTCAGTCTGAGTTAAGTGGTTTGTCTGTGGTGCTCTGTTGTGTGCGTTCCTGTTTCAACCCTTTGGCGATTAGTGAGATGGCCGACCAGAAGGAACAAAGAGTGTGCGTGAAATTTTGCTTTCTGTTAGGGAAAACTGCACTTCACTCTTCAAGTTGCGGCAAACATTCACGCGGTTTTCTCTTTGGTCATCTCCGAGCAAGCGAGGAACAAATTTTGCAGACACCCGTCTCATGTGCAAACCTTCGGTTAAAATTCGCTGGACTGTGCTCCATGAGATGTTCGTTTCCTCAGAGTGTTGGTCAATGGTCTTTCGATGATCTTCATCAATTTCATGCACACGCTTTGTTTTTCTGGTCGGCCATCTCACTAATCGCCAAATGGTTAAACAGGAACGCACACAACAGAGCATCACAGACAAACCACTTAACTCAGACTGACGCCAGCTCACTAACAGTCGCAGGAGACCCCCAGCTAACACCACCTAGCAGCACAACTCATAACTACAAAGCATGCGCGCGCAACAGGTCGTTTCCGGTTATTTTTGGGTCCCCCCTCGTACTGACACTTGTACTTAATCCACAAATACGTGTATACCAGCACTTTTCTTTGTGCCACAAATATACTGGAACTTGTCTCTTTGTACCTACACATAAATTGCTTTAACTTCCTCAATACGTCCCTGTACTACAATATATGAGAAAGTACAGAATGAAAAAAGGGCTTATCATCACAATAACTGCAAATGCATGGGTACTACAAGCACCTTAATGTTTTGCTCATTCTGTCATATACATATTGCCATGTGTTAGTGAGCAGACATGGGGTTTGGAAAGGTAACTGGATTTACTGAACACTTATAACTCGTAACTGCACATCATTATAATGTTCTCACTGGTTTACACACGCTAAAGACCACTGTAACTACATCACACATAAAGTCTTCTAAGCCTTCACTGGCTGTCACTTCGTAACAGCTCCCAATAATCAGTATCCCTCTGCTTCCAGGCTCATGTTGTTGCTGGCTGGCTACTGTCGCTCAACTCTTACCACGGAACTATCATGCCTGCAGGTTCTCATTACATAACCTCAGCACAGATTACACAGAAAACACCGTTTCCAGCAATTCTTCTATTATTGTGTGCATATCCGTTGCCAAGGACATGTGCTTAGCATGCCAACGTCTAGTAACGGTCAGATCTACAAATTCCAATAATCCAGCTTTTCAGCTGTCACTTCACAGTATAAGATTTTAGTTGGGAAATGTCCAGGAAAGAGACTGCATGTAAAACAGAGGTGTGCATGGTTAGATACTACAGATGTTGAGGGAAGAGAATGTGAGGTTTCAACTGGCTCAGGATAGGGTTCAATGGTAGGCTTTTGTGAATATGGTTACAAAACCTTTAGATTCTACAGAAGGCAGAGAATCTGGTGATCAACTGAGTTAACTATCAACTTTTTAATATTCTGTACTATATTATTAAATAAATCACACTTGCAGATCCAAACATCTGAAGTGTGCATAATTTTCTTAATCTCTATGCTCATTCGCTCAAGAGACATGTTGTGCACGCAAATGTAACATAGTAAGGACAGTGTAGAAGCCTGCAGTCTTTCCGTCAGGAGTCCTGTACTCACAGCTTCTAGTTTCCACTGAAGGCTTAGAACAGTATAACAACATAGCACGGCCCAAACAACCAGATGACACCGAAGGTAGGATTAAATAACAAAAACTCACATTTAAATAAAATCAAGATTATAGAACTACTACATAACACCCGTAATAAATTTACAGAATCCTATTCTTCAAGCAACGGAACCATGACGTGGTAGACATTCAACTTCCTTAAAAGAGAAGCGATATCAAGAACACAAACCAAATTGGTTCTAGATTTTAACAAAGTTTTTAAACCATACTAGTAAATAGACTAATTATAATAATTTATAAATATTTTAATAAATTCATGCACATTGCTATAGTTGTTAAAGGCTAATATTTTATATTCATGACATTGTAATTGTAGCGTCTGTATGTATTGATAATGACCAATGACATGTAAGAGCAGTTTTCACATGTACTAATATGTCCCTCTGAAGATAGTTCCTCTGACCGAAACAAGTCAAGGATGAAAAATTAAAAAAGAAAAAACATTTATAAATCACACTGGACGGCGTTAATAATCTTTTATTTTATGCTCATAGTAGATTCATCATAAACTGCTTTTAACATCTCTAATGTTTCACCTGGCAATTTCTGAAGTTTAACACAAAATTTCATATTCACTATCTGTTCCATTGTACGCTCCATTTTCACATCTTGACTAAGTTAATGACGCACACTGATCTAACAAGCTACTGTTCAACAAATGGTGAACACAGCTTATCCAAACTTTCCATGTGAACTCTGTCTTGCTGCATCACCTAATTGTACAAGTAACAGCATTACCAGATAACTCCATATGAAATTAAAAATGAGTCTTGAAACTTATTTGCCCAACCTTGTATGTTTCCTAACACATGGTCATCTTGCATTCAGAATCATATTCTATTCAACTACACATAGTAGTACACTTCAGTGCATTGTGGAAAAATGGCTACTATCATAATTTACTACATGAAACTAGAGAACATCCTCATTCCCATACTCACCCTCAAAATTGCTCCAGAATCTTGTCTCAAACTCAGAAAGTCATTCTTGCATATTCCTAGTATATTTCAGTGGTACCAAAGAATCCAGCACACTTATAAGATTTCTTCATTAGAATCACAGCAGAGGGAACTTTGTTTTTGCAAAGTTTCATTAATTCTACAACAAATTCCAAAACATGAAGGAGCACCCCTTGGTTACCCATGACTGCCCATTTGTCACATTCATTTCTGGACGCCTCAGTGAAGTATGTCTACCTAACAACAACTTCCCACTGGCAGTTTGTTACTCTCAGTTTCATAGACGTACCTTATATATTCTGCGCCCTTGATAGCCAAGGGGATCTTGATCTACTGCAATGATCTTCTTGTTCTGGAGTATAGCTTTGTACTCAGGTCTGATTGAACGCAGATCCACAGACATGAGGAGTGGTGCAGCCAGAATAGCCCAGAGAGCCATCTGCGTCTTACTCTGTTCATAGCTTAATCCAAAATTCCCAATAATCAGCTGTTAAACGATGACATAAAATGTTAGAACCAAGTATTGAGCAACGGGTGAAGTGCTAGAAGAAAATGCTGAAACAGGTAGGTATGATATAACCTTGATTAAGTTTCTTATATTAAACACATGACAACATTCTAAAACTTGGCAGCTTAACACATGAACACCAAGCTCAACATTTAAGCTACCCCTGTAGACACACCTTAAAATATTAATATTTCAGTGAGATAACGCCATACAGCAGTGTCCTCCTCAGCAAGCTCAGCTAATAGGCAATTACCAGAATTCCAGAACACTGAAGGTTCAGTGCTGTGTTCACAATAGCCCTCTCCTCAGCCAAATGAATACAGTCCATGCCCTCCAAGCCTATTTCCCCTAAGATAAACAAACCCCAATTTCAAGTTTCTTTGTGGAACTGTGAATTTGATAAGCTGAGTAAGATCTTATATGGAAGAACTTCTATACTGACATCATTGGTTTGGTGTTATTGGAACTGAATATTTGACTAGGGAAAACACCAAACTGAGAAACATTAAATTAGGGGTTCCACTGCATGTTTAATATTATCCTCACATATACGCCTAACTTTTCCAAGTGGTCTCTTACTTTCAGATACAGTCATCCCTCTCTAACTGAAAATTTGATTCACTGACAGTCTCACAGTATGTTCCAATATCAACATGATCATTGTTGTCCAGTCAAATGATAACTGGCAATGCACATGTATAATGGTGATCTTTAGAAGCTCAGTCACATTAGCCAGCCATTATGGCAGTACAGTACTGTAATCTTAACAATGTTCAAATGTTGTTCATCACATTTTGCAAGCTTTTGAAAAATTAGTGAAATTATGAACCCTTCAATGAAAAGCAAAGCAGATGTTAAAATCTGCTTCATTAAAGAATGAATCACTAATTTATGACATTTCATGGAACCAATTAATGTTGATTAATGAGGAATGACTGTATTCATGCTGAAACAGTGTATACGTTCCTCTTCTCTCCCATCATGCCCTGCAATCTCACTCTCCCTTATATGAAATATCACTTGGCCAGGAGTACATATTATGAAGCTCTTCATTAAGTAGTTTTCTCCAGTCTCCTATTATTTCATCCCTCTCGGGTCTAATTTTCTCTTCAGCACACTCTTTCAAGAACCATCAGCCTATTTTCTTCCCTTAACGCCAAAGACTAAGTTTCACACACTTACAAAACAACAGGCAAAATGAATTTCACATATCTAAATCTTTCCATTTTTAGATAGCAAATGGGGAGACAGAAGATCTTGAGCTGACTGGCAGCAAGCATTCCTCAAATCTAACCTGCTCTCATTTACTTCATCAATGAAATGTTGATGTGTTGCTGTTGTTCTCACATATCTGAACTTGCCAAATTTTCAAAGGATCTCTCAGCTATCTTTATGTTATGATTCTATTCTGCATTCCGGTGATAAGACATTTCAATGGCATATCGTTTAAAATGTTTCCTATCTTGACACAGTGCTGCAAGTACTGATGAATGCTACATCCAGCCCATGTCAGAAATTAAGAAATGCCAATCTGAATGTGTAAGTTTGAAAAACTGGGAGGAGGGAGCAATTTCATTCTTTAACATCAGCACTGATACCAGTCTATTCATTTCCTGAATGTCAGACTTTTCAAACAAGAAGCACAAACCATTCAATGCTTCACTTTACAGACAGCATTTCTCATGTACTGCCATAAAGGCCACTCCATAGCTCAAGCGGTTAGTCGCTGGCTTCCCACCATGGCGGGCCGGGTTCGATCCCAGGTCTCGTCAAATGGGATTTGTCATGGACAAAGTGGCGCTGGAGCAGGTTTTCTCTGAGTACTCCAGTTTACCCTGCCAATCTTCATTCCACCAAATTCTCCATCATCATAATCACCCGGGACAGGCTACAATAGGCCAATCAGTGGCCGCCATGCCGAGGGGACCCAGTTGGACTCCACCCCCCACTAAGTGAATTTAAAAAATTTAATTTTATGTGCTGCCATCAGCAAACCATACAGTATATGCATGTAAGCAAACATTCCAAAATTCACTTTTTCACATTCAGGGGTGATGAAAATGTACACACTCATCAAAATCTTGAGATAAATATCTTTCACAATCACAACAGTTTCTCATATCATGTATATGTGAGTGCAAAATGAAGTGTATAAAAACAGGTAATCAACAAGCGAAGAGATCATGTGTATCAAGAACCCTGCAAGTGGTCTTTACTTTGGGACTAAGAATTTAGCAGGAAACCAGCTGGTAACAACATGGGATACTGAAAGTCCAGTAACTTCATGTTTAGCTTAGATTAATTTTAGGATTCTTAAACTGTGTGACACCACAAATCCATAAATAATGCACCAACTTATGTTACCCTTCCTCTTGGGTAATCAATGAAAAGAGCAATTCTGCACACTATTGCAGGTCCCCATCAGGCTGTATGGTGACAGCAGGAAACTTAGTGTTATGGCTTCTCTACATCTACAGCAAATTTTATGTTCCTGTACAATCATGAAAAGAACTGCAAACTGTGTTGCCTGCAGCAGCTATACTTTCCAAAAGTGTTTGCATTAAATCCTACTAAATTTCCAGAACACTACTGGAATACAACTACATTTCAAATAGTTCTTTAAGAATGTAGGATTTGAGGTTCTCACAGTGGTGATTATGAAGAGCACTGTGTTCAATCTTGCACAGCTACAGCTCTGCTGAAGAGGGAGGTTATGTTACTCCGAAATGTCGGTTGACTTTCAATGGATTACGTGGCATTATATCCCAAAAGACAGCACTTTTCAGTTGAGAACTTAGCAAGTCCCATTAGAGTAGTTCAGAATGCTGTGAGGGGTCACAACTCAAAATTTAAAAATAATGGACTAATCCAATCTACTCTAGCTAGTAACCACATGAGGCAATGGCAGTTATGGATATGGCTTATGGATAGTTTTAACCTCATTAATACATAACCTCATCACTCTGAACAGTGATGACAATATACTAATGTGGTACCTCCTCTTCTTCTTATGTAAAGCCTCTTCATTCAGACTCAATGTTCATGGGCTACTTTGTTCAGAAACTCACAATTCCAAAAGGCCCTAACAAGAGATTTCCTCTTCCTCCACAATCTGTGTAATCATAACACACCAAGAGTGTTGGATTAACTAAGCATCCTCACCATATCAGGATCATTCCAATGTCCTGGCCCTGCATTGGGAACAATGATGTCCTGATTGTTCCCATAGTAATCAATGATGCTCTCTAGACTTGCCCATGAATCCTGGATGTCATCAAAGTTACGCCACAAATTGCAGTGCTCGACAATAGATGAGTAATTTGGCTGTAAGAAGAAATGAGATTAAGACAAGACAGCATGACAAACATTACATAGTAAAGTTCCATTCAAACTAGCCATTGTTTGGATTTGAGATTATGTCCACAACATTTTTGAAACTGCCTCTCTGTAGAATGTATGTAAATTCATAACAGCAGCAAATGATAATGTCCAGGGATGCCAGACTATTATAACAAACCTCTCTGTTCACTTCTCTAGAGCTACAGGATTAAAACAAGAGAAGAGAAGGGAAAAAAGAGAAGGAAAGGAAGAGTGAAGAGAGGATGATGTAAAAACAGAAGAGTACAGAGGATGAGGGGAAAGAATAGAAAATAAGAGAAGAGATGGAAGAAAAGACAGTAAAAGGAGAGGACAAGAGAGGAGACAAGAGAAAAGGCTAGAGGACATGAGAGTAGGAGAATGAACAAGAGAGGAGAAGGAGAGAGGACAAGAGAAGAGGAGGAGGAGGAGGAAGAGTAGAAAGAAGACAAGAGAGAATAAAATGAAAGGAGATGAAGTGTAAAGAGTAGGGAAAGACAACTCCATCTCTCCCACCTATCTCAAATGACACAATGACCAAAGGGTGAAATCTTCTGGGCTATAGTGCTGTGTAGTCCACTGAATGTGACCTGATGCTTTGGAGGAACACACTGGTTGAATAAGCACGGTAAGAAACCAGCATGAAGCAGGTGGCAACTTGCTACCTGCTTCATGCTGGCTTCTTTCTTGGCTTATTCTCTGAACCTGAAGATGAAGGTGACATGTTCCACCAAAATATCAGTTGACTTTCAACAGACTACACAGTACAATATCCCAGAGACACAACCCTTCACAATGACCACTGCAAGAACCTCAAATCCTATGCCATGACAAATACTGCACAGCAGTACCTGAAATAGCATACTTTAACAATGCCAATGGTTATTTCCACAGCAATGTCTCAAGAGATACACAAAATGTCTTCCTAACAATAAGCTGATGATATTTAGATCGTCTTCTGAATTGTGACAACAGGAATCTGCGGCCTCCATCTTCAGGCAGATGGGGCAGCAGGTTCCTCTGAAACATCACCAACAACCAACACAACACAGTGTCACAACCAACAAGGTCACGTGCATCAACATCTCAAATACCACACAAGCCAGTAACATGTGAATAACTTCAAAAATTAAAAATTATTTATTAACACATACTTGTATTATCAATTAAACAGAATATTTTAAATTTTTTATTCTGAATTCTGGTATACATACAATGATTGATTCTTTGGACATCATGTGTAGTCCTAATTTTTATTTAAAAGGAAGTTTCAGAAACTGGACTCTATTTCAGCCCTCAGGTGAACAGCCTACTCTGTTTACTTGGGTATAGAGCACAGAGCAGTTCAAAACACAGTCTTAAATAAAAATCTGAATGATGGATAATGTCCAAGAAATCATTCACTGTATTAATATACAAACATCACAAACTTTCAAATCTTATTTAGCATGCATGCTAGAAGACCTTTGCAATACTTGCTCCAAGCACAGATCCATGGGATATTTAGACTGACTGACAAGTGCACCAGAAACCTGACTTGCTATAATTTCTGAAGTTTAGGAAGCTTACCGACATTCCGGAATAAATCTGATATACAGGCCAACTGCAGGAGTAGACCATTGGCCGTCCAGTTTGGTTCAGATGAAAACCAAACTCAGGATATCCTGCAAGGGAAATAAGATGGTAAAGAAATAAACAGAGATGTTGAGGAGTGTGATCTCCTGGGCTGTGATAATGTGTAATTTGGATGGTTGAGAGTAATATACTGCCTCCATCTTCAGGATGTACAAATAAGCCAAATGAGAAATTAGCAATAAGCAGACAGGCAGCAAAGCGAACAGAACAGAAAACCCGTCCTGATACACGCCAGGAAGGAACTATGAGCAAGGCAATGGCAATGTGAACACTGGAACACTGTATTGTCACATGAGGCCTAACAGCTAAAATAATGGAGCCAGAGAAACGGCGCATAAAAACCAAGCCACGGGAAGGAAGGTGAGACTGATCAAAGATGTCATAAGCACAGCGCGTGGAAAGGAAGGAACGGTGACACACCAATAGGCTACTGGGGACAAGCAGCCTTAAGGAGGGAACAATGTACTGCATTTGCTCAGAGAAAGCACTATGGAGCCAGAGAAACAGCTATTGCTAGTTAATGCTTGCACACAACAATAAAGGAAGTGTCATGAAATGAGATGTGCTGCATACAGCCATTGCTATGGAACAATTGAGCAAACACATTTCCAAGGAAACAAATACGCACAAAAATAGAACTGTATTTTCTTTGTGGTCCATGCCGAAGGGCAAAGAAGATCGCTGAAGTCAGTGGAGTTTTGAGACAACAGCCTGACAGGACGAGCTTTGGAGCAAAGGAACTGAACTGACGTATTGGAATTACTGAGTGCAGTGCAGTGGAGTTGAAAGTCTGTGAAGAGAAGACTTTCTGTGTGCTACATTACCACAATATTTGGAGTGTGCAATTCAATGAGACTGTGTTAAAATCCATTGCCAGGAAACAGATAGTGGAGACTGTAACAGATTGAGGACACTAGTATTTGCAGCAGTGAACCATAAAGTGCTGAGATTAGCAATAGCACTGTATTACTTATAATTATGAGTTGAGTGTACGTGCAATAAATACAAACACCCAAGCCAAACCCGATATAATAGTCACCCCTACATGTGACATTATTATTATTATCATCACTATCATTGTTGTAGTTGTCAGTGATGGCATCACTGTCAACAACAATAATAATTACTGGTGGTGGTGTTAGTGATAATGGTTCAATTCTTATCTCTGAGTGCTTGCCAACAGCGAGCAGCCTATAACATTCCCATTTCTCAAATGGTATTCCAGACATGAATCTTAATTTAGTTGCAGAAGAGGAAATAATTAGTATAATTAGCAAATTAAAATAAAAAAACTCTTCAGGGTATGATGGTGTAACAAATAAAATTATAAAACTGTGCAGACAACAAATTAGTGAACCTCTAACTTACGTAATTAATAAGTCATTTACCATGGGTCTATATCCAGAAAGATTAAAATATGCAATTATTAAGCCAGTATACAAAAAGGGGAAAAGGCTGTTATAAGTAACTACAGGCCAATATCTATAGTAACTGGGTTTGCAAAAGTTTTTGAAACAGCAATTTTTAGAAGACTCAATGATCACATCGTAGAATATAAAATATTACTTTCAGAGCAGTATGGATTCCAAAAGGGATTATCAACTGAAGATGCAGTGTTTAAATTAACCAATGTAATACTTACAGCCTGGAATAGAAAAGAGTATGTAACAGGATATATTTTGTGACATAGCCAAGGCCTTTGACTGCGTTAATCATGATCTTCTATTAATGAAACTGCAGTACTATGGAGTGCAGGGTGTATTATTGCAATGGTTTAAATCTTACCTCCAATATAGGAGACAAAGAATGGAATTAAATTATAGAAATAACAAATATTATTCTTACTGGGAAATTGTTGGATGTGGTGTGCCTCAGGGATCGGTGTTGGGACCCTTACTCTGTAATATATACATAACCGATTTCTCCCTTGAAATAATTAAAATTTTGGAAGTTATTATGTTTGCAGATGACACAAGTATTCTTTGTACAGCTAAAGACTACTATACTTTAAAAACAAAATTGGATGTTGTTTTCAATCATATGTTTTCGTGGTTTCAAAATAATCAATTAGTGTTAAACCTAGATAAAACAAAAATGATAAAATTCACCCCAACAGCAGCATTCTTTTTTAACAAAAAGCTGAAAGAAGTAGGAACAATAACATTTCTCGGTTTGCAGCAGGACAATCATCTGACTTGAAAGGGACATATCGATTTTTTGCTTCACAAGTTGAGCACAGTTGGTTTTCTAATGCGCAAATTATCCTGTATATTAAATTATATAAATAGTCTTAAAGCTGTATATTATGCATATTATCATTCATTGGTGAAATATGAATCTATTGGTGAAATACATCAGACAGTCATAAGGTCTTTGTTATACAAAATGGAATGGCATGGCAACTAAGTCCTTTGGTATTGCAGTTTCAAATGACATTACTGTACCAGCTTCAGATAACAGATGAGTAAGGAGTATTGATAAATTGTAGCTGACATGAGAAAACTGAAGTGCTTGGAGAAGAACCTGGTCCAATGCCATTTTATCCTCCACAAATTCCACATTGACTACCCTGGGATTGAAAATGGACCTCCATGATGAGAGCTACAGGATGGCCATAAAAAGTGTACTTGGCAGGGGAAGAATGGGATTGGTCCATGACACAAGCATATCATCTTCATCAGAAAAAAACTGATCTGATGATTCTACCTTCTGGGATATAAAGCTGCGTACTTCGGTGGAAAGTCAACTGACATTTCAGGGAAATATATCACCTCCACCTTAAGGAGTGAAGCAACAAATCACCGTAAAGTAGGCAACAAGCAGAAAAACATAGTATTTTATAGGCTAGAATTAACTTGCAAGCCCACGAATCAGTTCCCACTGACTCTCTCTGAGAAACATAGTGAACCAAGAGGATACAAGGGAAGAAGAACTAAGTTGCACCCTGGAATAGGCAATTTGTACACACATGGGTACACAGGAGGACAGAAGTCATAGGGCTGTAGTCATGTAGTGGGGGGGGGGGNAAAGACCGGCTCAGGGTTGAGAGGTGCCCAGCGTGGGCACAGTTGGCACCCTGACAAAGTCAGTGTCCCTGGGTCTATGTGAAGATGGAGGCAATATGTTCCTGTGAAACATCAGGTGACCTTCACTGGACTACACAGCGTTACATCCCAGAAGACTTCAGAGCCACTGCTGCAAGAACCTCAGGTCTAAAAGAACTGATCTGCTTCATGTCCTTGCAGTCTCACCTCGATCCATCTCACGAGGATGGGAATAGCAGCCATCCAGCTTGACATAATCAACATTCCAGGTGGCAAAGGTCTCAGCATCAGTTTTCAGGTACCCCAGTATTCCTGGATAGCCAGCACACGTGTAGTTCCCATAGTCCTCGTAGATCCCAAATTTCAGCCCCTTTGCATGAACCTGTAGAAAAAAGGCACAGCTATAGGGAACAAAAAACAATTATCAAACTGTGACCATTAGATAAGGATCTATATATTTTGACATTTAGAAGCAGAACAGAAGCAGTTTCAGTACTTCACATCATTAATAATCATTGGTGGAGCCCTAAAACCAAAAATTCTGAGGCATCAGATTAAAAGAAATGGGAAAAACCCATGATACAGGGGTGTTTTTTGCCATTTACACAATGACAGCCTTGCATTTTTAAATACACAACTGTAAGATAAAAAAAAGTCACAAAAATCACATACTTAACATAAGTTGAAGATCCTGCATCAGACAGATACAGAAACCTATAAAATGTATAATTTCTTACCTTTTCATTGTACACAAACCTATTTTTATACTTTTAAAATTCTCCTTTCAAGTATTTTCATGAATATATTATTCTATTACTGAATTCTTTTACAGAAACAAAAACAGGGGTTTTCTTAACCACTACATAAGACTGACAATGCCATTTTAAAAGAGGTGCCAGTACAATGCCCTGGCATTCAAAAATGCGTCAGGGCACTGCCCTGGATCACTCTGCCTTAACTACAGCCCAGGTAACAATTCACTGGGTTACAACTGTCTGCTTGCAAACATTTTATTAAAGTGAAAATTACCATCTTCTAACACATTGTTTCAGATGAATGTACTACCGCCATCTTCAGAGTCAAAGATATGCTAAGCAAATAAATAGCAAGAAGCATGCAGCAAGATTGCTCAACATATCTTCAATCATAAATATGCAGGCAGTACATTTCTCGAAAATTCAGTGAACTTAATAGAGACTACACATCATAACATCCCAGACTGTAGAACTCTTCATAGCCACAGATGTTAGAACATCATATACAGCATTCTATTATTTATGTAAATTGTCCAATGAAAACGAAAACTGAAATAAGCAACATTTTCCATGAAATTCTTCAATATAAAATTTTAATGAAAATCTGTTCAGATGTCAGCAGATGAAAGCATAGGCTGAGCACAACCAACAGGTGCTCTGCAAAGGTTGAAAAAACACTTAAGAAGTGCATGGATAAACTGCAAACCAGACAATCCATATGCAGATAAGGAATATACTCTACTAAGAAAGGTTTGTATCTGCAAAGGTGGTTTTAACTCCTTTATGATTCTAATTCTGCAAGTTTAGGTGAGTAAAAACAGGCATGGACATGACTTTTGAGCAAGAATGGTGCATCCACTGCAGTGCTTCATGAAGTATTTGTAAACTTCTGTGTTTCTGTAAATTAAAAAAATAATCTTAATGTGTAATGGAGCCAGGATAGTTCCGCTGGCACAGCAAGAAGCTACAAGCTGACCCACTGAAAAACTGGCGTTCGATTCCTGGTTGGGAAGAGATTTTTGTCTTCTCCACAGTGTCCAGACTGGCAGCCTCCTATCCAATGGGTTCTGGAGATTTCAGGGTGCCACTTATCTCTGTCTAGTACCTAGGATATATGTGGATATATGTCTCCATTCCCACATACATTTTCATGGCACGGTGCTTAAGTAATTTATCTTCATGTGTAAACTACTGAATAAAATACAATCCTTGAGAATATGGTTATTCTTTTTTGATGACACTGGATAGCTGAGGAATGAAGGTGCACTTTCTAAAATAACAGTCAACATGAATAAATGAGAGAACCCATATACATACATGTGTTATACAATGATATTCAAACTGTTAGGTTATCGTATGTCAGTATGTACCAAGCTGTAAGAGTATGGCATTAATCTTAAATGTAATTTGTTGGCTGTGAGTGGGTGGGAAAGCTTCAAGCAGTTAAGAAAGCACTGGAACACCAACAAAAGGTGATGAAACTAAGGATACAGAGGTATGAACACATGTAACATATGTATGGCAGCAGGATTCCTTTGTGAACATCAGAAATGAACATGTTCACACTGTAACATCTTATAACTTACATAATCTGAAAGATCATGAAGACCATATGGGAACCTCAGCTTGTCAGGTACCAGTTGACCAGAATAACTTCTCTCTTTCTCGAGCCAGCAGTCATCAATGTTGATGTATTCATACCCCACAGCTGCATAGCCTTCCGACACTACGAGGTCGGTCATAGTACGGAACAGACGATCACTACAAAAAGCAGTATGTGTACACAAAACTCTTTTGTGGACTGTTATGAACAGAAACCCAAGTCAGATCTATCAGATATCACAAGCTTATCTACTGATGCTGCAATGGCAGTGTTTTTTTATCACAATTTATTTATTTATTTTTACAGCATTACACAGATCATATACAGTGTGTTTCACGACTTTAGGGCATAACTGCAGGAGGTGATTTACTAGGTCTTTGTGATCAAAAAAGTTCATATAAACATGTGTCTGATATTGGACAGTTACGGAGTTATGACCATTTTAAACTCAGAATAGAAGGTAACGATTACTGACAATAAACGGAACAAAATAATAAACCAGCATAATACATGATACATTTAAAGTACGACTGTAAAGTTAACTTCGTGAAATTACCTTTAATTTCAATTTATTGGTGCTTAAAGCTGATTTTCGAAAATGCCACTGCCGGCCGCAACACAGGCTACCGCTCGGTTGTGAACCATGCCAGACATACCAACCCACCACGCCTTAGGCACCTCTCAAGTGTCAAAATAACAAAAACGCTCTGTCTGTAGCTAGCTAAAAATAGCAACCCACCAGACAACAGACGCGGTTCACACGAGGGCGTGTATGGGAATGAAAAAACGGTCATAACTCCGTAACCGTCCAAAATCGGACACATGTTTATATGAACTTTTTTGATCATAAAGACCTAGGAAATCATCTCCTGCAGTTATGCCCTAAAGTCGTGAAACACCCTGTATATATGACTATGATTCAGTTAAGGAGGGTGTATTCTACAATGTTCTCACACATCTGTATACCAAAGAAATTAGTTAGGTTACTTAAATGTGTTTAAATGAAACCTACAGTAAAGCCATTATAGGTAACCACCTGTCTGATACACTTCCCATTCAAAACTTTCTGAGACAAGGATTGCTGCCACTGCTTTTCAACTACACTTTAAAATGTGTCATTAGGACAGTCTAAGAAAACCAGGCATGACTGAAATGCAATGGTACACATCAGTATCTGGCCTATGTTGACAACGTTAATGTATTGAGTATAACATAAACACCATAAAGAAAAGACAGAAGCTCTAATCCATACTAGTAAGGAGGTTGGTGTAAAAGTAAAACAGAGAAAACTAAGTATATACACAGTGTGTCCAGGTTCTGTTAGGACTGTGATCATTAAAAATACAAGACGTGAATTATTTTCAAAATTTCACTTTTTTTATTCAAAATAGTCTCCTTCTGAATCAGTACATAGCTGGAATCGATTGAAGTTTTTGAAAACAGTCACTTTACTCCTTTTGTGGAATTGCATTTAAAACTGCGGTACATTCCCTTTGGATGTCCTGGATGGTGTTGTGACGGTCTCGTTTCACCACCAACTTAACTTTTGGGAACAACCAGAAATCTGCTGGAGCCAAATCTGGCAAATACGGAGGATGATCAATGGCTGTGATCCATTTTCGGGCCAAAAAATTGCGCGTGACCTTTGATTTGTGGGGTGGGGCATTGCCATGGAGGAGCAACCAGGAACATTGCTCTCGATATTCAGGTTGAATTCTCGCCCACAATTCCTTGTGAATGATTCCTTTGGAATCGAAGAAAACAGTTAGCAGTGTTTAAGGTCTTTCATTCTGGTCCATCACACTAACAAATTAACAATCAAGTTCCTTCCGTCAAATGTGACACTTTTTTAAGTTTTCCACCTCGTCACCACCTGCCTTACATGTTTCGGCTCACCACGGAGCCATCATCAGAGGCATTTATAGTAGAAAAAGAAATCACCAACACACAAAACTTCACTTTGTCNTTGGGCTGACCGTAACATGTCTTTGCAATAAACACATCTGTCTCATGCAAGGATTTCGGTCACTTTTTTCACATTTTCTTCAGTGCGACTTGTTCTCAGCTTCGATGCACGTGGAGCATCTTCAATGTATGCTTCTCCAGCCGTTTTTCTTAACTTCAAACAAAATTTGATGTTGGCTCTCTGTTCAACCACCATTTTCCGATGAGCGTCAGAACAGTACTGTTACATTCAAGGTCAGAACACATGATACAGCGATGCTTGTGCTTTGAAATTATAGAAAGCCACAGCTGATACTTCAAGAATCTTAATGCCACAACTCACCAACAGATGGTATTGCAGGGCAAATTTAAAAAATGAGTCCTAACGGTTCCTGGATACACTGTGTATGTAGATGTCTCTTCACTGGAATGCAGGGCAAAATCATAACAAAAAGATAGCTAATAAATCCTTTGAAAGGGTGGCAAAGTTCAAATATTTGGGAATGGAAGTAATGAATCAAAAATTTGATTCCTGAGGAAATTAAGTGTAGAGTAAATTTGGATAATGCTTGCTACCATTGTGTTCAGAATCTTTTGTTTTCTTGTCTGCTGTCAAAAAACATACAGATGAAAATACATATACTGTACTTTTGCCTACAGTTTTGTATGGGTGTGAAACTTGGTTTCTCATAGTTAAGGGAAGAATACAGACTCAGGGTGTCTGAGAAAAGGTGCTGGGGACAAGAACTGGATCTAGGAGGGATGAAATAATAGGAGGCTGGAAAAAACTGCTTGATGAGAAGCTTCATGGTCTATACTCCTTGCTACATACTGTCACGTGTATTAGTGACTAAAGACGCAGGATTGGATCAGCGAGTCGATTTATTGGATATTCACTAATTGCAACCACAAATAATTATAACACTTTCACGGTTACTTTAATTACAACAAACAAAAAACAAACTCTGTGATTTTAGTCCACAAGCGAACTATACCAACCGAGCAGCCGCCGCTTGTCGGCAAAGTTTAGTGCCAACTTTTGCGGATAGAGGGTGTCACATGGTCAGCACAATGAATCCCCACAGCCGTTAATTTTGGTTTTCTATACCGGAGCTGCTATTTCCTTGAATTACAACACATAAATAAAGTCTCCTATATCTACATACACAAGTCATTGCTAGGTAACAGATCTAACGATGGCTATTCCTTTGCAGAGTTTTCCCTATTCGTTTCCTGTCACACTTCAGATCTCAGTGCGCTACAGTATACATAAAGTATTTAAATCATATGTTAAGTCTTCACAGGCCAACTATTAATTCTTCCTCAACTACGAACTTCCCGTGGCCATTTCCTACTGCTTTTACTGGTTCTCAGGGTCTCTTCGCTTGCGGATTTCTTATATTTTTCCTTCTACCCTGAAGACTGAGGCGATACGTTCCTCTGAAACGTCGGTTAACACCACATATACACGGTGCCAAATCCCAGAAGACTGCTTTCTTCTTAATAGAACTTTGGTTACTTAGTAGCAATAGTATCGATAATTATAAATTGTTACAATTTCTGTTACCTATGGACAAACTGTTACATTTTCTGTTATTTATGGCTTCATTCCATTTGCACCCTCATATAATAACGTTTTCAAAGTTTAAAGAAAATTGGTGGGACAATTTCACCTATTTCTGATTTTGCAATGCACAGATTTACAACAAATCACAAAAGTAATACATACTTTTAACAGAATTACATCCAAATTCAATGTGTTCACATAAAGACGGTTACTAATTCTGCCAGTTTTTTAATATCCAGCATTGGATTTACAAGTGCACACCAAAAAGCAGCTTCTACTATGGGTTTACTTCCATATTTTCATAAAGTTCGTTTTTTCCTGATATACACTGTATATTAAAGTAAGATGTGAACTGCCATCTAAGTATGTCTAATTTATTTCCTTATGTTGATTATATGCCGTTGCAATCCCAACATGTTTCGGTCATACTTCATAGTTCAATATTTCACCTACCAAGAACAATGAAACCATAGAGCTCCATATCAACACCTAAAAAACTTATATGAGGCAGCAATATGCAACACAGCACAACATATAATAATCAACAAAATTACACTAACTACAGTCTACATCAGAGAATTTTAAATAATATTAATTTTTATAACACATTTATGACTCAAATATTTTATATCTTTTATTTTTACTTACAAATTATATAGGTTCCCTTAACACAATTCAGCCCTCTGAAAATAACTTTACTGCCATCTTTGAGCCGATTGTCTGGATAATGTGGGACCTTCAACGCCTCACAACCCTATGGACCTTCACGGCCTGTTACAGGGATAGTTTTACTTTACTTTTACTTTACAGCCCCCTGAAAATGGCTCCGTATGATTGAAACACGGTGGTGTTTTAACATATAATTAATGTAAAGGTAAAGCTGTCCACAAGGAAATAAAGTAAAAATATTTATGGTGCGTAAGATTTGAGGTTCTCATGGTGAGGACTATGAAGAATGCCATCTTCTGGGATGTGGCGCCATGTAGATATGCACGGCGCCACATCCCAGAAGACAGCATTCTTCATATTTATGGTAATTTATATCTTATTCTACCCTAGTTTCTTTTCATCTGAAACAAACTTGAATACCAATTCACACTTCTAGTTAGTTCAGAGGAGAACAATTTTCAAAACAATATCTATGAGTCTGACATTTCACGTGCCTATGGCCCAATAACTAAGTTACTGGTAGGGTAAAGAATTCCTTTTTATGGCTGTGTTGTTTGTTACTTCAATACATTCATCTTGTGCAATTTCAAATCTGTAGGAAAAATATGTTTTGACCATAGGAAATGGTCCACTTGAGATATTAGAAAAATACCTTGATAACTCTTCTCACAAATAACAAACAATCTTTAATTTCTATCAGTAAACTTACATCCACATTATGGCAGTTTCATTTTCTTCAACAGAAAATACCTGTTTACCCTACTTAGCAAGCTTACAAGACATCACAGTATGACTTCCCACATCAGATACACACATGGCTAACTGAAAGCAGATATTCACATATCCTTCCCATACCTTATACAATTGTCTGGATCATTCTTGCAATCTGTATTACAACGAAAACGCTCCCATGACAGCCAGCCCATGGGTGGAGTCCGGGCCAGCCCATTCTCCAGTGCTTCAACCACTGATGAACACACAAATACCGTAACCACCACACATAACACACGATTCACTCCACGACAATCCATAACTATGCCACGTCAGTCAGCGTGCGTTTTCTGAAACACAGCATATTATGGTATCAGCTTCTCAGCACTTGATTCATTACAACAAACTTCACAGCAGCAGTTCCCAACTCTCAAAACAGCCTCACTGATGAAATACATTTAATTTGACACAGCCCAGTCACATTTGTGGAAATGCCTGTCTGCAAATACACTTTTTATGGAGGACTGACTGTTACTTCAGTCAACTGAACAGATGACAAGCAACTATAATTCAGTTTTAAGAAACTTAATGAATGTGCAGAATAATTTATGACCACAAATTAGGACCCACAGAAAAATGTCATATCCAAATTTTTTGTTACCTATATTTAAAAAGTACATCTGCCAAAGAGTGCAAAATGAGAAGGGGAAAAAAGAAGAAACTGTACCTGTTTTAAAGATGTGTGTTTCCTGGGATTATATTTTCTGATTTCCATAAGAGTGGAAATTGGCTCAACACTTCAGCATAACAAAATTAAAAATATAATATAAAAACAATCCATTAAACTTTAAACTACCAAAGTCACCAGTTATGTGCAGAACACTTCCAGTAACTTTAGAGATGCAAGGGCTACATGGGCGTACGAAAACACTTCTGATGTAAGGTGTATAACCATACTCTTCACTCCTACGCTCTGGTAAGCCAACTGTAGAAACTGTATCCTCTTGTTCTGAGCCAAATTGAATCCCCTCCCCTCACACCTAGCACTTTCACACATTGACCCAGATTTAAATGACTTAAGACATCTACAACAGTAGTATCTGACAGCACAATGTTTTTCTCATGGTCATTAGTTAAGGTACACATAACTTTTGCCATCCATTACTATTTACTGTTGCTGCTGGATGTCTCAACTAGGAAGGAAAAGCAGCATTTACATGAAACAATAAAAATTATGCAACACTTTTGACTATTATATAACAACTGCAATTTGTCCCTGCACTGTCCATGGAAGGAAGGAAGCCTGTACAAGATCAGGTCTGTTAACAGTTTTGCAACACTGCAGACAGCTCTGCCTTCATTTCCCTGGATCTGACAATTATCATATGGGTTTCATGACAATATGCACAGACCAAGAACATCAATTCATTGCTTTGTCATCCAACCTTCTATTATTAATGCTATTATCACAAACTGAATGACAGCAGCATCTCAAATTCTAGAACTTACACATAATGTTGTGATGGTATGTAAAAATGTTTAAACGGTTTCAAACCATCTTTTAACATTACAGTGAGAAAATTTTAAATGTAAGTCTACTCTCAAACAAACAAACTCCCTGATTTTAGTCCGCAAGCGCACTATACCGACCGAGCGACCGCCGCTTGTCGGCGAAATTAAGTCTACACTCACGTAACCTTTATTTTCATGCAAGCCACAGCACACACACTTGATTTTACACTGTAAAATCTACAATCAGTAGGTTCCCAATGCTGCAAATTTCTTGTTACTTGAAGACGATTTGTTGAGTTTCTAAGTCAATAAATTCAGCAGTTTATAATGATCACTGCCTTTTCGGCCTCAGAAAATTAACTAAAAATGTCAGATTGGGCTTACAATCTTTAATCTCTATTTTTAAATTTGTGACCAGTTACCACAGCAGTGAGTTAAAATAATTCTTTTCAGTTGATTTAATTTTACGAATTCTCACGTATAAAGCTATCATTAAGGGCAACTCAGAAACATGAAATTTACGGTCTTCTGAGTTGTAACGCCGTGTAGTTGGAAACAAGAAAATTATAATCTGGGAAGCTACCTGTAATAATCCTACGTATTTAATAGTACATTAAATCCAGAACAGATGCTTTTCACGTTTCAGATTATTTAATTTTAAGTGTACTTTCCTTTCCTAAAACAATATAATAATCTGTTTCTTATTTGGTCAATCTCTTAACCTAGCACATGCGTAAGAACATGCACCGAACAAATAACAGACTTTGCCTTGAACAATTTGCTCTCGTTTCACTCCCAACACGAAAGCCGGTTTCCGTTTGCTGAAGGTAAAAGTTGCTTTTCAAAGAACGAGGCCACGCATTAGTGGCACTCTATACTCATGCCTTCACCTTATGCCAGTACGAAACAAGGTGCCAAAGACCAGCACGCCTATAGACAAACGATATTATGATTTTGAAAAGCATTAATACTGTCATTAGTTCACAATCTAAAATCAACTTAGCTCCGTAACAGATTACACTATATCAACACTCCACACCTTTTCTCTGTTTAAACGACACTAACCTTACCGCAACATTATTACACGCCGTTAACACGACAGCACACACATGGCCCACATGACTCATCCAGTCCGCTGCGCGGTAGAACTTGCGCATAACTTCACACGTTTTAACCTATGCTTACGTAGTTATTCGCATTGGTTTTGACTCCATTGATCGTCGTTCAACAAGGAATATGTGTGTTATTTACGAATTGTTTTGGCTTTCCGCGAAGTGTGCGCCACTGCATAGCTTAACTACAAATATTCGGTTTGTGAAGATCGTAAAATATGATTTAAAACTGCACTTAATCACTCTAACGCCTTTAAAAACGCAGCATTCACCGAAAATTATACCAAATGCCTCTGGGTTTCTTGGGCGTCATGACCCAGAAAACCATAATTTGCCAAATTTGTTAGGTTAAATTCGTATGTGGGAGCCGGAACACAGGGTATCTGGAAGTGTCCTTCTGTCCAGCAAGGTACTGTACTTGATTGATTTAATTTAACCTTTTCTGCCTGCTTAGCTTTTTCTTCGGCCTCGAATATGGAAATACGTAGTAGTATGTTCCTTTGAAACGTCGATGGACTTTTATCAGAGCACACGGCATTAAATTCCCGCCCCCCAAAAGTAAAACTGTTTAAAATCTTTTTGCAGTCGAAATCCGGTTACATCATGAAAACTATCCTGACAGACTTCACGAAACGCTGGAACACCGTCATTGGGTTCCCGATCTCTGATGACACAACCTATAATTTCACGGCTTTCTAATAATGCGGACTAACAAATAACGTAAAACGCAAAAGAAAAATGCCAGCTGATGAGTGGAAAAGGAAACAGAAAGTACGCTGTAAGGTGTCTCCTGGGCAGCTGAGAACACAAGGGTAAGAACTTTCTCTTCTGTGTGGGAGTAATGAAATCTTACAACGCTAGTAAGGAAACACGAGGAATCCTCACACATCATTCCTTACCACAAGGAACTGTCAAACCAGCTTCAAACAGGCACCCGGAACGTAACGGAAACTGTGAATAGCGGGCTTCGAGAAGCATTTCTTATTTAAATAGTCAGGCTAGCTACTAAAACAGTCGATTTCATGTGCCTAGCTAACCTACAGATCAGGATGGTCTAGCGGTGGCGTTCTAGATTTATATTTAGGAGGTGCTCAGTTCGAATCTCAGCCGGGAAGCCAACTATCCAGAATGAGTTCTTCGTGGTTTTCCACGGTCGGTCAAGTCAAATGCCGGGATAGTACTTCAAATTAGGCCAAGGCCGATTTTCATTTCAAATTATTTCAAACTCATCGTCCTAAAATTCGACGCCGTATGGTCTTCGATACAGAAAGCGTCGTAATCTAATCCACGAAAAAAAAAACACTTTGATAATACAACCTGAAGTTTCAACGTCGCTAATACCAGAGCCCGCCACTGAATATGACCATGTGCCACTTCCATCCACCTCCCGTTTGTCCTTAAGATTCGTCATAATAATATATTCACATCTCCTGCTTGATCATCCAAGTGGCCGATTTCCAAAATGTTTCCTATGCATATTTGTAAATGCAATTCTCTTCTCCATCGCGTCGGGCATCTCAAATCTCTTACATTCCACTGGTCTAAAAGTCCAAGACGACATATGAATTATGAAGCTCTGCATTACGCAAGGTCATAAACATTGTATTCAGCCTACTTTGTACCTCTCAGGTCGAAACATTTTTATGAACAGGCCTGTTAATTTCAATTTTCGTTTGCCTCAAAGCAAGATGCTAAGGGCTCTTGGCGGGTGACCGAAGTTTTCACTCGAAAGAGAAACATGGATATTGTTTGAACAATATTATACAGTTTATAGGTATTAAAACTAAACTCCGTCGTTTTAGTTTTAGCGGTCCCAGGAGGTGCTTACATTATGCTTTAAAATAGATCAAGACCTTCTTCTTCCAAATCATTTTACGTTCATCATCCACATACACTCCACCACTGGAGGCTTCAGACCTAAGTTTCATAAGACGTCCTTAAGTAGATTAACAAACAAGCACGCTCAATGAAACACTCATGGGATGGGGTGACATGACACATGTGAACCTCTTTGTTCATCTGTTTCTCTGATTTTTGTGACCACCTCTGTGGTTTATTAGTCAAAGTTCCTGGCTACAGATCCAGAAGACCGAGTTCGATTACCGGCACTGCCAGATTTTTTAAGAATTAGTGGGTCTGGAACGGGGTCCACTCAGCCGCGTGAGGATAATTTAAGAGCTACTTGAATGAAAAAGTAGCAGCTCCGGTCTAAAATACCGAGATTAACGGTCGTGGTGATCCGCTGTGCCGACCACGTGACACCCTCTATCCGCAAATGTTGGCACTAACTGCCGACAAGCGGCGATCGCTCGGTCGGTATAGTTCGCTTGCGGACTACAGGCCACAATTTTTTTTGTTTCTATTTGACGACATTTTCAGTATTTCAGACTTCATTGCGTTGCATGGTAGAATGAGAGATGAATGGTAAATTGGAAATGATTTAGAAGGAAGTGGTCGTGGCCTAGTCGAAGTAATGTGTCGGCATTTGCTGGAGGGAATAAGGAGAACCGCTTACATTCTGAGCCATGATAGCTCGACTTGTATTCGGGAAGAGCTCGGTTCGAATCACGGCCAGACCAGCGGCCAAACCTATTGAGGTTTTTCGAGCTTTTATTCAGTCGATAGAGGAAAGTGCCAGAATATTAACTTGATTAAACCAGACCGCTTCCTTCCAAATCCTCTGTATTTCATCATTTGTCAACCATCGTATCATCCGATGCTTTGAGGTATATTCTCTGACAGCATCGTTCCACAAAACCATAGAAAGCTAATTAATCCTCTAATATTTTAATATCTAAATAAGCATTCTAATACAAACTTTGCCAGTGGACAAAGGTGTTATTCCTTTGAAGTCCAATGAAGGTTCGTAATAGACCTACTTTCCTTATGAGATATTCGCAACACATTTAACCTCAAACTTAAAAGATCGCCCATTGTTAGTTGTCCCTAGTCTATTTAGTGAACATAAATTGTAACTGGAGGTGTAGCTCGAACATCAGCGCCTATTTACTCCCTGTACCACAGAGGCAATTTACATCTAGCTACTGTAGAATTTGCGTGACTAATAATGTCATTTATCACGAGTCTCAGTTGTCTTCTCTTGAAACTGCGTGACAGCCTGTTACACTTACTCTAAGCAGGTAATGTGCAGTAAAGGGAAGCGCTTGCAGTTCAACCATGACGTCAATTACTGTGCTTCGCTGTATATTTATGCATATGGTCCCTTGTTTACACATCCCATATGCAGTAACAGTAAATTCGTTATATTCTTCGGTATAAGAAATTGCTTACCATATATTGTCACAGATAATTCAGACAGGTTAAATTATGATTATTATTATGATAGACACAAACTGTATACAATTATGCAGTCGGCTTGAGGAATGACTTATAAATTACCTAAGCCTTTCGCAAACTCCGTGTGGACAAATACCCGTTGTTCCAACCGAAACAAACCGTGTATTATATCTGTTAATTATTCTTACATGTTGTCCTTTAAAGACAAATAACAACATTGTTATGTGACACACGCTGTCTGGCGGTCTGTCTGTCTGTATATCCGTTTCTGTCTTCATGAAACTCAGCAGGAATTGGACGCCTTCAGAGGCTTCATGAAGCTCTTGATTTGGAATATCTACTACCAACATATATCAGTGCGGCATTATGAGGTGAGCCCAAGTCAAAATACGAGTAGAATCCTAAAGAACTCCTTTATAAACTGCAACTTTCGTTGTAGCGTTAAAACTTCGTGGCTTGAGTCAGCAAGCGAACTATACTGACCGAGCGACCGCCATTTGTCGGCGAAATTACTGCCAACTTTTGTGAACAGAGGGTGTCGCGTGGTCAGCGCAACGGATCCCCACAGCCGTTAATTTCGGTTTTGTAGACCGGGGCCGCTCCATGTTAGGAGACCACTGGGAAGACCAAGGCGTAGATGGGTGGACAATATTAAAATGGATCTTAGAAAGATAGGATGGGATGGTATGGTATGTATTGGATTGAACTGGTTCAGGATAGGTACCAGAGGAGGGCTCTTGTGAGCACGGTAATGAACATTCGGGTTCCATAAAATTCTGGGAAATTCTTGAGTAGCTGCAGAATTGGCGGCTCCTCCAGAAGGGCTCAGCTCCATGCATAAGTAAGACCGGGGCCGCTATGTCCTCAAAATAGCTCCTCAACTATCCTCACGAAGCAGAGTGGATCCCGTTCCAGACCCACTACTTCTCAGAAAATCCGGTAGCACCGGGAATCGAATCCGGACCTCTGGATCTCTAGGCACGAACTCTGACCACTAGACCACAGAGGCGGTCTTCGTTGTAGTCGTACCTTTAAAAATATACGGTTGAAAGATGACTACATCGTATCACACCTCAGAAGAGCACAATCTGAATATTATAAGTTATTATTTTTAATAATATAAAATATTTTCTTTAATAAAATGACTGTCCAGAATTACTGAGTTTATGTAGCAATAGAAGATGTGGGATTACATCAAAGCTTGGCTGAGGTAAAAATAAATTGAATCGGTCTAGCATTGTGAACTGACAGAAACTGCGACGTATTTTAAGTAACTAAACTTGTTTCAGTGTACTTTGATTTAATAAAACCATGATGCGATGCATGAAGTTTCACTTTAAAATATGAGGAGAGTTGGTCATGTATTGTACTTTCTAAAATTTTTAGAAATTCTTTAAAATTGTGATTGGTCTAAAATCCATAACTTGAGCACTGCTACCTTATTCGAAAACAGGTACAATGGTCGCTTGCATCCACAGAGAGGGAAACTTCCCTTGTAAGAAACTAGTATTAAAAATATGACTCAAAAGAGGGGCATAAGTTTCTGAGCAACCATTAACAATAAAACTGGAGATTTTATCTGGACCGTCACACTTCGACGAGATGAGACATCGAATTGTCTGTTTAAAGTCAGAATCTGAAGTCGCAGGAACGTGTAAATAACCAGACAAAGTAAACTGAGCATCTTTTGGAATAACAACTGAAGAGGGCGAGTTAAAAACGAAGAAAGTGATCCGCAAAGGCTTCAGCAATATATTGAGGTTATGTTATTATATTTTTACAACATTTGAGTTGGGTGACAACATGACCATTCCTTCTAAGAGTCATATTTCCAAAAGTCTCCAGATTTCAGTTTTCAGTTTGTCATCTATAGATTTTAACCAACGAAGCCTGTGCTTTTTAATAGCGGCTACAAGCCGGTAGGTCGCGGGTTGAAGTCCCGATGAGGTCACTGGATATTTTTCAATTGGCCTAATCCTTCCAGCCGCACTATGGCCCTGGGGTTGACTCAGCCTCTAACAGAAATGAGTACCAGGAATTAATTAAATAATTTTCCTGGGTAATAAAGCGGGGCCAGCACGTAAGGCTGACAACCTTACCGCCATCTTTGAGCCGATTGTCTAGATAATGTGGGACCCTCAACATCTCACAACCCTATGGGCCTTCACGGCCTGTTACAGGGATAGCTTTACTTTTACTTTTTTAAGCAGTTTGCGATAATAAGAAAACAATACTGAAATGGTGATGCGATTTTGATTTCTTGTATCTTCTCAAGTGTTGATTTTTTATCTTAATATAACTTACATACTTACTTACTTACTTACTCATGGAACTAAGTCCTTCTGGAGGAGCCGCCAATTCTGCAGCTACACAAGAATTTCCAAAACTTTATGGAACCCGAAGGTTCATTACCGTGTTCACAAGAGCCCTCCACTAGTCCCTATCCTGAGTCAGATCAAAACAATCCATATTATACCACCCTCTCTCTCTAAGATCTATTTTAATATTGTCCACC